AGCAGCCAGTTGCCGCCAGAAGGGCCAAGATCAGCAGCAGCAGGAGCTTCAACAGCAGGAAGAGCAGCAGCAGCAGCAACAGCAGCAGGGAGAGCAGGACGATAAGTATGCGGGCGCTGAGGAGTTGCTGCAGTCGCTGGATCAGCTGAAGAAGCTCCAGCCGCTGGCATCTCACTTGGCTCGGATGGTGGGGACGAGCGAATCTATTTCTGCAGTGCAGGACTTTCGCTCTTCTCTACGGCGAACGCAGGATACCGACCGAAAGGCTGCGGGGGGTGTTGCTGGCCCCTCTGAGCCGCCTCCACTGCCTGCAGTGAAGGCGGCGATAGAGGACGGCGTCTCCGCGCTGTCTCGGTTGTATGAAGCGGCTCGGGANTGCCTGCAGTGAAGGCGGCGATAGAGGACGGCGTCTCCGCGCTGTCTCGGTTGTATGAAGCGGCTCGGGAGCACGGACAAACTCTGGCGCAAGAAACACAAAAGGAATTTCTTCCTGCTTTTTCAGATGAGGAGTTGCAGGCTATAGAAGACAGCCTGGGTTCTGCTGTTTCACAGCTGCTGCAGTTTTATGCCAACGATCTCTCCTCGTCGACGCTTGTATTGAAGGGGTTTATGGGGACCACTGAACAAGTTGTTAAGGGGCTTCCCCCCCTGCAGGAGAAGAGCGCTCGCGAGCTGCTTGCTGCTTCTGCAGCAAACACCGAGTTTGCTGCAGCAGCAAAGACAGCTGCCACGACCCTGACCGGGGCTCTCAAGGACCTTCAGTCCACTGCTGCTGCAGCGTTGCATGCGCATGCTTTGCGGGCTCAGAGATTTCTTTATCGTGAGTGTAGTGATGTACTGGCGCTGCAGCAGGAGCTCTGCTGGATGGAGACAAAGCGTCAGCTGTCTCTGGATGAAGCAGCCGGCACCGCTCTAGATATCCTTGATGCAGTTGATGGCGTGCTGAGTAAAGGAGATACCCTGCTNNNNGCCGCATGGAATCTATCCCCGGCATTGCAGAAGTAGAAGACGCTGCTAGGAACGAATCGGTGCAGAAGCGCATGTGGTTGATGGCGTACAAGACCCGTGAAGAGGCAGCAGCAACAGTTGATGCAATTGCGAATACCCTTTCCTCTCTAGACATGAATAACGCTGCTGCAGGAAACGAGGAGCAGCAGCAGCGGCAGCAGCAGCAGCAGCAGCAAGGCACCGGGCCAGGAGAAACCCCTTCTTGTTCCAGTCCGTTTGTAGGGAAGTTGCTGGCAGCTCAGCTGCAACAGGTGAAGCAGCAGGAGATCGCTTTGCGTCAG